AACATCGCCGAGCGCTCAGCGCTCAGGCCTCCAGAGCTCCATGCTTTGAGCGTGCGCACGGACGAGTTTGACTTATCTCACGGAATTGAACGCACGCCATTTCAGACAGGCGGTCCAGCATGTCGCGAGTGGCCATGGCCAAGTGGCGGTGAGAGTCAGGAGTGATCGATCGCGACCGATCGCGATTGTCACACTAGATCATGGCTTTGAATATTGCTACTGTATGTCGTCAGATCTTCCGCTTCTGATGAGGATACGCAGCTGTCGCAACCGATGGTCATGAGGGTCGGCAGCAGACCGGTCACACGTCACGAGCTCACGTCTTTTTTGACGGACATTGCGAGAATGAGGAGATGTATAGATGGAACGTGTGCCCAGCCTGTTTGCACTGACTTTGTGTGTAATACATGATGTTGTAACTACAGTCCCGCCTAAGCTCCCGAATTGATAGGTTCTAGTCCAGATCTAAAAGCTTGTTGGTCAGATGGGACAGGCCAAAAAAAAATGATTTGTAAGGAAAGAGGGTTCAGCAACTCAATGCATTCAACAAGCAACCATGCCCATCTCCATTTTTGTACACTAGGAGACTTTGGTGTAGGCAGAAGACATTCTGTCCGCCCATCGAATAGGAATTTCATCCGAAACAGCAAGAAATCACGTGTTGCATGCGGAACATCACTCACCACAAAGTAGATGCCTTCATAGATTTACCTGAAGATGAATTTCACTGATGATGAAGAACAGTCAGGTTCACGCACTTATAGGAAGAGAAGGAAGAGAATGGTCAGCCAAGGCTGAAACTAGATTGATATGGCTCCAGTTCCACATCGTGTTTTCGGCATAGAAATTGGTATGAAAGAATCATCACCCTAAGTACACTGAGAACAATGCTCACCTCAATGCAAGCCCACTAGACCTGGCAGAAGTAACAGAGAAACGAGATGCAGAACCGATGCCGACGAGACTCAACGAGAAGAAACTTTTTGGCACTTAGGGCAACAGCAAACACCGGATATCTGCCTTGGGGCCCTCAGCCACTGCACTTCTCAATCATTGACATGTCATCCAAAATCCAATCGAAGATGCCAAAATGCTTATGTAACTCTGAAATTGGGTACTTCACTGTGAGGGTGGTAATTTGAAAGCTATGCTATGAGCAAGTCAGTCTTATGCTGTGAATAGCTACATGGTACATGTGCCTCACATGACATATATAGAATCCGAGTCATTGCTCATGTTCATCGTGCTTTTATGTATTGTCTATGATTTTATCAAATGTTTGGGAGCCTAGGAGCGTGAGTTGCATCATTGTCGCAGTTGCATTGCAGGGCCAATGATAGTGCCTGTCACGAATCACTCAGGAATATCCTCTGAACACAATTTAATGTGTCGGCACCAACATGATTCTGACTAGACATGAATTACCTCTAACATCCAGAACCAACTTGAATAGGTCGAGCGTGATATGTCAACAAGTAGGTGGTGGCAGGATAATGGCTTTCACAAGCCAACTACAAGCAGGCCTGAAGTCCCATGTCAGATGATCATTGACCTGAATTGCTAGCCAGTCTGTATGCACTCTGGTTAAGGAGTGGACCTCAGGTGAGGTCATCGGAAGTATGATAGAACTGGGAATCTACTCCCAGTTAGCCCTAGTATATATACAAGCAGGGTAGGACCCTGATATACCATCTATCCTACTTACTATTATAATTACATCGAGTACTAGGATCCCTGATATCGGGGGTGGACCCACAGATCGAGGACAGATGGGAATCTTATCTTTAGTACTCAATGGCGAGGTGCTGCACCAGATACCTTTTAATGGTGCTGCTACATTGTGTTGACCTAACCACAGGTATGACCTGAATATAACTGCATGCATCTATTGGACCATGCCTTGCGGCATGAGTACCCTTAACTGAGGAATCCCAAGATATCTCAATCTGGGGTTCCGACCAATCAATACTTATCCCCTTCTGTTGGTGAAACACCTGACAGTGTTCCGGCTACTAACTTGATATTGGCCAAGACTAATACAGGTGTGGAGTTACCCCACACTTCTTGGCTTCTATCTTATCTAGTTAATCTGGATCCAAGACTTTTGGCTTAGTCTGGCAACTTCGTTACTCAGTTGGTCCAGACTTGAGTCATTGATCGGACCATAGTTCCGATCTGTGGATTTGAGCTGCATGTGATGTGCACTTTAGACATTCTGGACTCATGACATAGTAGGTGTATGTGATGTGTATGCTGAGTGATGCATGTGAATGATCCAGATGTTCTGTCTTTTAATATAGCTCTGGAATGGCCCAGACTTAATGGTGCAACCCTATTGAGGATCCTATTCAGGGATCAGGTTGTCACATATGCAAAGTCTATTGAGGAGCCGTTCCATCATATCTTCGGGGTATTGATAGTATTGATACGCACTGAGATATTCTGCGATCGAAAAATGCCAGAAACTGCGTCTGACTATCACACAATCAGATAGCGAGTCGCCGTGACCCAGAAAGACAAACACTGAGCCAGAACAGTCCAGAGTGGGCAAAAAGACTTTACTGACAGCCTGGGAACATGGAACTGTGTGAAGGGTCAGAAGGTGAAACATGAGGTGCAGAAATGATGAGCGAGCCACGAGGAAGTGTAGCCGATTATGAGGTGCAGTGCCAGAAGCAGAACATGACCAGTTAGGCAACTCAGAAACAAGCAAGTGCACTAACTGAACAGAAGACAAGGTAGCAGACCGACAAATCCTGGCAGGGCCAGACTTCATTTCCCCAACTGTATGGTATGAAGAGGAGCAGGAGCGAGCTTTGTGAGATGTTTCGGCGACTCAGCTAGCTCATTTTCAACCCACTATATAATTCACATTGTACATAGAAAAAACAAGAAGTTTTCCAGGGAGTTTCCCCACCAAGCAGCGCTCAGCTCAGGTCTCATCTACGCTAAGGCATCGTGCTCGACTACGTCTACATCTATTGTGATCACATTCTACATCTCTGGGATTCTCGACACTGAGAGAGGCAGCACTCTCACCAGTGGCCTCTAGCTCGACTCAGGTTTCAGCCAGATAAGTCATGTTATTGTGTTCTTGTATCTCACGCTATCACATTTTGCTCACACGCCACCAGTCATGAGTCTCAAACCAGGATTCTGTCCCCATTGGATCTTGTAGCCTCGCTAGCGCCCATGAGTTCATTGTCAGTGCTCGTTCCCATTCAGAGACATCCAGAGGTTCATTGTCGATGCTCGTTTCAGTCAGAAGTGCTCAGGGCTTCGTCGTCGGTGCTTATTCCAGCTCGAGGACAGTTAGAGATTGCTCGTTGGTGCTTGACCAGCACTTTTCAGATATAGAAGGTCCTCGTGCCTCAGCTCAGACCTTCAGCCACCACAGTTCATGAGTACGGAAGTTGCCAATCGCATTCTACACCCACACACCCCCGCATTCCAGCTTTTGACTGTTTTCCAGTCAGAGGCATCCATACAGTCGAGTCCGACACTCACCGATTCAGAACCTTTGACAATCTGACTCTGTTTCAAGCATCACAGCTGAATGACTCACCGCCGCCCGTCGCTGCATTATCATCTGAAGTTTCCTGTTACCATAGCCCAAAGGGACTGCAAACAGACAGAGCCCCAGTTCACCTTCCACCAGTAGGGGTTTGGTTAGGAGCACTGCTCACAGCCAGGAGCGCTGCTCATGGCCAGGACGCGGTTGAGCATATCATTTCTGGAGCCCACCGCGAGGGGTGGAGAGGATTCAAAGTTTCACAGCACCGAGTCATCAGCCTTACAATCAGAGATCGAAGAAGGAGTTTGGTATCCCCTTGAAACAGAGTCAGGATTACCACAATAGGTGAAACATCAGATGAAGAAGTCTTCTCATCATTCAATCAAAGACTCAGGCGACTACACGAGTTTCAGAGGGCCAGATTCGAGTGAGCAAAAGAAGGCCGACCACACTTAGCCAATTTTCGACCATCTCCATATTCGAAACACATTCCTCAGCTTCGCAATCAACATCACCAGCTTCTAGAACCCCCAGTCCACTTAGTTTGCTTACTCCACTATTGCACCATCTGTCCAAGTCTTCTACAGTAGAAGCACAGTCGAAACACATCTCCGAGGCTTTGTCGCAAGAAGTTCTGCTTAGGACCCTTCTAGACAAGCTAGAAGCAGCCTTCACAGCTGAACAGGCATCGAATTCCATCCAAAACTCCACTTAAACACTTAATCTACCGACCACCACAGCTACAGTCACTATGAGCACCATAATCACTAATCAGATGCCATTTCGTGGTGATTGATCGGCACCCACGTTCGATCCCGATCAGCCAAGAACACTCTTTCACTTCTTCAATGACCTAGAAATCCTATTTACATGTTGCCAAGTAAACACTGAAGCCGAGAAGAAGCTTTGGATGAAACACTATCTTAATATAGACGTTGTCGACCTCGTTGAGTCACTTCCAGAATATACTGATCGAGCGAAAACATATGTCAATCTGCGACAAGCCATCCAGGTGCTGTATGCAGATGCAGATACAGAGCAAAAGTGGGAAGTGCGAGACATGGACCTCTTAGTTGGAGAGCGAGCCCAACTGGAGATTCAGATGATCACAGAACTATCATCGAGAGTTCCTAGCCATCACCTCATTTCTCATAGGCAAGACTCGCATTTTGCAGTCAGAACACAATCATGCATTCATTCGAGGTTTCCCACCGGAGTTATGAAGTCAGATTTCGCAGCGCCTGCAGTTGAAGCAGCCAGACCATTACCCAGATGATCCCTACTCAGTAAACGATGTCTATGAGGCAGCAAAGTTTGTGTTGCATGGCACTAGTGCAGGGCTGACCACTGTAAAGCTGACTACAACTACTTCGACTAGCAGCGCATCAGTGATAAAGAGCAAGGATATCTTGTTGCTTATTGAAAGCTTGGTCAAGTCAGTTCAAATGCTCACAGAAGCTGTGACTGGAGGAATTGCGAAGCATGGGAGTCAAGCTGCAACTGTGAGCAGACCACTAGTCACAAACGGAAATCTGAGCAGATTTTGCCACTATTGTGGAGAAGCCGGAGGCATGATCAGAACATGCAAGCACGTCAAGGAGGACATTAAGAGCAGCAAGTGCATGTGCAATGCAGCTGGAAAAGTTGTCCTTCCAAATGGCACCTTCATCCCTTGCACAATTCCAGGCATCACAATTTGCAATCAGATTTATGGGTGGCACAGATGGAACCTGACTCCAGTCACGGCATCAGTTTCAGTGGCGAATCTATTTGAGGTCTCAGAAGACAAAGCCAGCTCATTCTCACTAGACGCAGAGGATAGAATCGAAGCATTGGAGCAGGAGTTGTTCAATCTGAAGTGATTGCGACCAGTCTTTGATGGAGTTTATATGCCACTGAGGTGACTGGCAGGATTAGCCGCAAAGCCAGCGCAATCTGAGAAGGCACCTGAACAGCAGTTGCAACCTCAGGTGGAGCCAGAGAAGGCCACTGAGAGCATGCTGAGTATGTCAGTTCCAGCAGTTGCAGATTCAGTGCCAGAGCATCCTTTCCAATCAGCTCGAGATGTGTTGTATGTCCCACCCAACACTCGCAATTTCGATCAAGCCCCAAAGCCAGGAGCATGAAATGCAGCCTATCACAATGCACCACCAGTCTACCAGCCGAAGCTTGCGACTACAGTTTTCGAGCAATCGATGAAGTCATGGGGAGTTGCTGTCGATATCATCAGATGTGCGCAACAAGTATCGCAAAGCATGCACACCAAAATGAGTAGTACCTCCAAGTGTGACTGGAATGGTGATGATCTTCAAAAATGCAGAAGACAGCAGTTCCACGATCGGACAGGAGAAAGAGCTCACCTGTTGAGGGGAGCCTTTAGCAGCGACAGGCTCAGTGTCACAGCACGCCGATGACAAAGATAGACAACCAAATGTAGAGTCCCCTTGAGGGCCTCCTGGCTAAGAGCCTACAGTGACGAGCTGTGGCGATATGACGTGCCCACTGACGAGGCCTAGTAGCTGATTGCAGAGCAAGACTTACTGGTGAGGCTAGAGGTGCTATCACACAAGTGAGGATGCGATGAAATGTATAGCACACTGAGAGTGTCTGGTAAGACCCCTCTGTGATGGTAGTGGAGGACGAAGGAGAATAAGACTGAGGTCTCCTCCTCGTCGTGCTGGTCCTTATATACATGATTGCTATGCTACTGTACAGTACTATCTAAGCGAGTCACATGCTATTCTACTGGTCAGTGCTACAATCGTACGACATGTCTCAATTATCCTGATTGGCTGCCTAATAATAACCCACAGAGACGGAGCTCCTCTTGAGCACGTAATATGGCGTCATGGCGATTGCAACATATGACACCATGCCGAGGGGCTCGGTGTCACGTGACAATGCCGAGAGAGATCCAAGGTCATGTGACTAGATGCCTCGTTATCTTATCTTGTTAGGTCATGTGACTTCTTGTGCGACGAGCAATGATGAAAAATGATATGCTCCTTAATACCGTTTGTTCCTATAATGACTTTGTCAGGTAAAACTGTGACACTCAGTCATTTCTGATCTGTATAATGCCTACCTGAAGCACATTCACAATGAAGAAGAGCCAGAACAGTTGACAGTCGCAAAAGACTCGCATGCGTTGTGATTGATAGATGCACTTATCGACAACAAGGAATGAGTACAGGTGATCCTAGATTCAGGATGCCAGATTGTCGCAATGTCCGAAGATGTCTGCCTCTCGCTGGGGCTTATTTACGATCCAACAATAAAGCTCAACATGCAGTCTGCAAACAGAGAAGTTGACCAGTTGCTCGAACTGGTTCGCAATGTACTGTTCCAAGTCGGAGATATTGTCCTCTACTTGTAGGTCCATGTCATTCATGCAGCCACATACGATATTCTTCTAGGATGACCATTCGATGTGCTCACCAAGAGCGTGGTGCACAATTTCATTGACGAGAATCAGACAGTTACAATTGTATGTCCCAACACAGGAAGAGTCACAATGATACCCACTATACCAAGAGGACCACCACGAGTCAGGGCACAGCACTTGTGATCGAAGGATCCAGGTTTTCACTAATGGAAGATATGAGTACCGAAAGCAGCGGGATGACATTAATCATTGATGTAAGCAGCACAAATACCCTGATTATATCAGCCTATTCCCCAGTATCCCATCTCCATTCAGTCAAGCTATTCGCGAGCCTCAGGACAGGTCCTCGACGTGGTGTCATCATTATACACAGTCACTTCAGATTTTCGATCAACTTCCTGAAGCTCAACTTTGTGTCTACTACAGATGGTTATAGGCCAAAGTTGCAGTCAAGAGTCAAGCTTGAGAGCAGGCTATGCTGCGACCAAGAAAAAGTATAAGCCAGTTGTGCTCAAAACTAGACCAGTGATCGCATCAGTTTCCGAGCAATTCTGAATCATTTGCAGAATCATCGGGGACCCTTTGCGACACCTACCTGAGCTTTCCGAGTGGCCAGGGCCTTTCTTTCCAACCAGTCACTATATGAAAGAAAGAATGGAGGCCTTGAATATCATACACCAGCCAGGATTCTTGTGGCCAGAAGAGCGAGCCCTTATGCATGCATTCATGTGTTTGCATAACCAAGCTTTTGCTTGGAGTGATTCCGAGTGAGGATGGTTCAAATCGGAATACTTCCCACTGATAGATTTCTCAGTCATTTCACATCAGCCATGGGTTCAGCAGAACATTTCAATTCCACCAGGCATTTACAAGGAAGTCTGTGTGATTATCAAGAAGAAGTTGGATGCCAAAGTTTACAAGCCTTCAAACTCATCATACCGATCGCAATGGTTCTGCATCATAAAGAAGGACAGAAAGTCTCTACGACTCATGCACAGTCTTGAACTGTTGAATGCAGTTATGATTCAGCACACAGGAGTTATGCTGACTCTGGAGCACCTAGTGGAGCAGTTCGGCAGTCGTTCCTGTGGAGCCATGCTCGATCTATATGTTGGATATGATGAGAGACTCATAGCAGAGACATCACGTGACCTTACCACGTTCCAGATGCCATTTGGAGCTTTGCAACTTGTCACCCTTCCGATGGGGTTGACCAACTCAGTGCCGATCTTCCACAATGATGTCACATACATTTTCAATCAGAAATTCCTGCATTCATGGTGCCATATGTCGACAACGTCCCAGTTAAAGGTCCAGTGACTAGCTATCTCAAATCAGATGATAGCTTCGAGATGATCACAGGCAACGATGGTATCTGACAATTCATTTGGGAACATTTCCAAAATCTCAATCACATTGCGCAGTGAATGGAGTATGCTGGAGGTACCTTCTCAGGAACGAAGTTGATGCTTTGCACGGAAGAGATCACAATAGTCAGACACAGGTGCACCCTGATTGCACAGTTGCCAGATGAATCTCGAGTCTGGACAGTCAGAAATTAGGGCCCATGCAAGGAATTATCAGAAGTTCGTGCATTTTTAGGCACAATCAGAGTCACAAGGATCTTCATTAAAGACTTCGCAAAGCGAGCGCACTCGCTTGTGCAGCTCACTCAGAAAGGAGTTCCATTTGAATTTGGCGAGACACAGCTCAAAGCAATGGAAGACCTAAAGCAGGCATTATTGGAGTCACCAGCTTTGTGAATGATCAATTATGACTCGTTAGCACCAGTTATCCTTGCAGTGGACACTTCTCTGATCACAGTTGGATTTCAGTTGTGCCAAGGTGCAACTGACAGATCGAAAAAGCAGTTTTTCAGTCATTTCAGGTCTATCACACTCAACTATCACGAAAAGAGGTTTTCACAACCAAAGCTCGAGCTCTACAGCCTATATTGTGCCTTGCGAGCACTCAAGATCTATTTGATCAGCATTCATAACCTAATAGTCAAAGTGGATGCCAAGTACATCAAGGGCATATTGCAGAACCCAGACATCGCTCTGAGTGCAAGCATCAACTGTTGAATCATCACCATCCTCATGTATCATTTCTGACTAGTCCACATACCAGGAGTTATGCATGGCCCAGACGGATTATCGCACTGACTGAGACAGCCCGGCGATCCGCCACCAGAACCAATCGAGGATACAAACTTCGATGATTGAGTAGATTACATGAATGGATTTATGCACCAGGTACTTCCCCGAGTGCAGATCTTGAGTAATCCACCATCAACTGAGGATGGTCGATTTTTCAGAATAGGGGAGGAGCTAGCCATGCAATCAGTTTTTGTGCTGCTGACTCAAAGTAACGATGATCAGAAACCGTGCAAGATACTCAGGACCTGAAGTCAGTCAGCTACAAGGATGTTCCATGATCTGCACATGCCAGATGGAATGATCATCTCATCGCATTAATCACTGACTGGCTGGAAACGTTGCAGCGACCAGAAAATTACTTGGATAAAGAATACGATCAGATGCTCAAGTATGCGGTTCACTTCTTCAAACAAGACAGACATCTCTGGAGGAAGGATGGACAAGGATCGCACAAGTTAGTCATATTATCAGAAAACTGACTACGAGTCCTCGCTGGAGCACATGATAAGCTAGGACACCGAGGCATTGTTCTGACTTGGTCATTGATTCGCGAACAATTTTGGTGGCCTGATGTCACGGTTGACATTGCTTGGTTCATCAAGACATGCATAATATGTCAAAAGTGACAGATTCACCAGATTCTCATATCACCGATGATTGCAATGCCAGCGCCAATATTTGCAAAGATATATATTGACACGATGCATATGCCACCCTCAAACGGATTTAAGTACATCGTGCAGGGTCGGTGTTCGCTCACCCACTATCCTGAATTCTGTATGCTGTGAGCAGAATCTGTGAAGGCCCTCAGTAATTGGATTTTTGAAGATATACTCTGTCACTGAGAAGCGCTATCAGAAATTATAACTGACAACCACGCACCATTCGTAAAAGCAGCAGCCTATCTGGAGAAGAAATATCACGTCAAGCACATCCAGATAAGTGGCTACAATTTATGTGTGAACAGAATAGTTGAGCGACCACATTTTGACATTTGGCAAGGTCTATTTAAGGCTGCTGACAGAGAGGAGTGCAAATGGAGTCAAGTCGCACATTCAGTTTTCTGGTCAGAAAGAGTCACAGTTAGAAGATGCATGGGTTGTTCGCCCTACTTCACCATCATGGGCACTCATCCTGTCTTACTGCTGGACATAGTCAAGGCAACATATATGATTCCAGCACCAGTCGGGATGGTGACAATGACCGACCTGATCGCGAGTCGAGCAGAAGCACTACAAAAGCGCTGAGAACAAGTCATGAGGATCCACAACGCAGTCTACGAGGCCAGGAGAAAAGCAGTGAGGCGATTCAAGCGAGTCCACAAGAATGTGATCAAGGATTTCGATTTCAAGCATGGAGACCTAGTCTTGGTTCAGCATATGCAGATTGAGAAAGCACTCAATCGAAAAATGTGACTGCGATATATAGGACCATATATTGTGTTGTTTCACAATTGGGGAGGAGCCTACATGCTCTGTGAGTTAGATGGAGCTGTACTGGACTGACCGATCACAGCATTCAGGGTGGTACCATTCACAGCAAGGAAGAAATGTTGGATGCATTGGAAGCCAGATTGAAGGAGATGCATCAGTCGGACAACCAAGGAGAAGAGGAACTGGATAAAGAACAAAAAGATGAGGAGTCAGGGGATGAAGACAAAGGACTGAAAGACCAGTACGACGCAAACGAGTCAGAATAGACAAGTATAGGGATTCAAACTAATAATTCAATCGTATATAGGCAAGGACTCAGCTAGGGACTCAAGAGACTCAAGAACTCGAACAAGACAACACTATTTTGTGACATCTCACTTAATATTTCATTCAGAAAAGCTTGCGCAAGGTTTTCGGCACCCAGGTTTATTCAAGCAAACTAACTAGTACATTGCCCTATGTGCACAGAGGGAGAGATCACGATAGAGATATGAAGAACCATGCAGACAGCCCGCTTTGAGTCACCCCAGCACATACCCATCGTGCACCAATGGCATCATGGCTTGTGAGCCCTCAGGCCTGATTCTTCTTGTGAAGCTGCTGCAACAGCTCGATCATCCACTCAAGTTGTGTACTGGTTTCGAAAGGCTCAATGGTGGCTGGCGAAGAGCTAAACAGCTCTGACTTCATGGTCACAGCTTTGAAAGAGCCCTTTGCATGAGCCTTGCCTTTTGACGAGTGCAGCTTGAGAACCTTAGTAGATGGAACGACAATGGTGCTAGCATGGGCATGTTGCGTCATGATGTTATCTGGGTCGGAGTCGTTAAAGTGAGGACACTTGAGAGGCCTGTTGAATTGGCCTAGTGAAGTCATTAGCAAGGAAGTAATGATGTCGAAAGGGACGTACCACATGGCGGCAGAGGAATCACCAACTTATGACGAGAAGGCCCAGCAGTGCCCTTCTCTTGCTTGACGGTAACAACCTCAGGTGTGCCTTCAGCGTCGGACTTGGCATTGGGCTCAGGCGTGTCAGGCAAGGTATGGACCGGCCCTGGAGGGAGGTCAGTTAGCCAGGAACAAAACTGAAAGAGGGGAGGCCTATGAAGGTGTGGGGCCAGGGCAATCACAGTTTCATATTCGTCAATTGGTGTGTCCAGTGGGAGCTCGAGCTTCATGGCATAATCGCTGCTGGCAGTGTTCGCATTGTGCATATGCTCATCATAGTCACCCTGGTGACTGGAAGCCTTCAAAATCACCTTAGCATCTGGCATCTTGGGCAGTGGCCAGTCCTTCTGATGGTACAGCTTTTTTGGTGAAAGCCATCCATCGGCATCATCAATGTTAGGGACTGTATCACTCATCCACCACTTGCAGGCCATGTGGTCATGATGACACTTGCAGCATTGAGGACGGAACTCACTTAATGTGCAAGTGCGAGACACCTTGTCGGAAAGAAGGCAGTAGCGACACTGGGAAGAGGAATTGGCAATGGAAAAGTGTGGGCCAGGCAAGCACTTACCAAACAAGCAATAGACAGCTTCTGCCAAGCCAGGAGATACTCTGGAGGAAGGGAGCGATCACAAAAGGTGTGCACAGGCATGCGCACATACTGGTCCTCCAAGTTCGTAGTCATTTTGGAAGCCTTGGTGGACTTGCGACCACGACCCTTGCCCTTCTTCGAATGCACTGGTGAGAGGTTTAGAAGGTTTCTGCTCATGAACTCGACCTCATCACTATCGCTGTCATCCTCGTCATTGCTGGAGACCTCAATAACCTCAGAGCCTTGTGCGGAAGGTGATTCAGTGACCACAGTAGCAAGTGAAGGATCAACTTTCATAGCCACAGCACCAGAGTCAGAAGGAGGGTTGATAGCAACTGGGTCTGTTGCACAGGCCTGGAACTCAAACTTTGGGACAGGAATACCAATAGCAGCAGGAGCTATGACAGGTGCAGCTACTACAGAAGAAGAGGCCAGAGCAACAGAGAGAAAAGCATCATCAGTGCTGGTGAAAGCAGTCAGAGAGTCAGAGGCCATGACCTCCCCAGTATCAGAAGGCATGTGAGCAGAAGCCTCAGTCACCGGAGGGGGGTTCAGATCCTAGGAGAGTCGAAGGATCATGTTAGCAAAAGATAATGGATCACAGTCTGGTGCATGCACCTTGCTCGCTGAAAGGCAGCAGCCCGCTTGGGCAAGATCAACTCCTCGCACCACAAAAGCCATGATGGCTGTACAAAGGCATCAAGATGTGCTTGGGCCTTGTGGCAAAACTGGGTGTAGCGTGTTTGTGACACCACGTCCGAGAAGGTGCAAAGATCATGCTAGAAAGGAAGAGAGTTATCCGGTTGCGAGTACAACAGCGCAGTCACTCACCAGGGCAGAAAGGAACTCACATATGAGAAACTCGAAGTCCATGACCAGGTCGAGGGGCTCTGCCTCATGCAACACCTCCCAAGCAGAATAAACGATACCCATGATGGCATCCTTTGGGTCCACTGCCTATGTGTCAAGGACAGAAGTTAGCAATGCAAAAAGCCAAAGGTAGGAAGACAGGTGCACCTTGTGAGGAGAGGTGACCAGAGTTGCAGGATGCTGAGAAGATGAAGGCATAGTGGGGTGACCCATCATCGAGCTGAAAGAATGAGGTAGAGGGAGAGGGGAGTTAGGTGCCATCAGACACTGAAGACAATTTTGAACTAGCCATGCTCGGACATGCAAACACATCATTAAAACCTCATGGTATCATCCTCTATCATGTGGTAGAGCCAGTTGGCTTTCTCAGGGAGCCAGTTCAAGTGACTCAGATGGAACTTCTTATGTGGGACCGAAATCAAGCCAACTCCGATTGAGGCTACCAAAACAATGGATCTACAGCATGAAGTCAGAGATGAACACAGTCAGACTACTGTACATGAGAAAGCGGAGTACATGAAGGACAAATCGAGACGATTCTAGGCTACGTGGCTTTCCCATTCGCAGCCAGGAAGGTCTTCAAGAACTGGAGATGATCGCTAATGCGGGTCACCTCCACAACCAGTCATGCATGCTCCTGAGTATAGATCTTGATCAATAGGGCATTGGGAATGGCCAGCCCACGAACCTCACTAAGAATCCTCTTAGTCTCTGCAAGCGATTTGGCATCTGCAATCGTGAAAGGGATAAAGTCAGTATTGCAGCCTTTGTGATCAAGAAGACGAAAAGCTTACTAGAGGGAGGCTAGACAAATGAGCACTTGAGGTGCGACACTCAGCAGTGAATGCAAGCCTGCCCACTGTGGTCAGAAGGCATGATCATGCAGTCCCTGTCCACCAAGCACTTGAAGCACTGGTGGCTGGAATGTAAGCAACGAGCGGAATATGAAGAAAGCGACCAGGCGCACCTTGGTATGCGGCCATGGCTTGCCGAAGCTCAGAAACGCGATCTGCACACACTTTGGGAGAGCGTGGATGGCGATGTAGTACTCGTGCAGTGTATCTGACTCAGAAGACTTGATGGTGACCATGGACGACATCATACTCATGACAGATGCAGAACGCAACTGCACCCTCGGAGTCACTGCAACAACTTCAGGTTCATGCTTGACCACATCCTGAAGAATTTCTGCCATAGCAAGAGACATGGCAGAAGGAGGAGGAACATGTCAGCTATCATAGTCTATCCACCAGCAGCCAATCAGAATGGTCTGCCCAGGGAATGTACGGTCGCACCGATCCATGAAAATGTCGTTCACCATGTACGCCATTAAAAAGTGATCACAAATATGGTTGTGACCTTCAGGAAACTTGGCAAAATTGTCACAGTCTGCAGCCTCGATGATCTCTCGCATAATCTCAGTCATCGCAGCAGGAGAACATATCGGGGCAGCAGTCCCAACAGCATTGGAATAACCTCTCAGGGAGGAAGGGACCACTGCTGAGATCCAATCGAAGTCAGGGCTCGTGTTCAGCATGAGCCAGTCATACACTGAATTGACCTCATGCAGCAAACTCTTGGCACAGTCTGGATAGTCACAGGTCATGCGTAACTGGAAGGCCGCAGCATTGACTGGCAGAAGGCAGATCGCAACACAGAATACTCACCTCATAAGTGAAAAATGACATGGCCCAGCCCTGCCAGACCAAAGCATGAGCATCAGGAGTGGGCGATGTGAACACAAGATTATCCAGGTGCTGCAGTAGTGAAATGCAAGCACCGTCAATGGGGTAGACACTGCGAGCTCAAGCACCGAGGCTGAAGACACCGTCGACATGGGACATAGCAGTGAAGGACCGGGGAACTGACAGCGAGGGCATGCTATCTAAAGTACACAAGCCCGATGGACCGAGGATGATCCAAATCTCAGAATGGGGGAGGTGATATGCACCGAGATATTCTGTGATCAGAAAAACACCAGAAACTGTGTCCGACTATGGCACAATCGGATAGCGGGTCACTGCAATTCGAAAAGACAAACACTGAGCCAAAACAGTCCAGAGTGGGTGAAGAAGACTTTACTGACAGCCTGAGGAAACAGAACTGTGTGAAGGGGTCAGAAGGTGAAACATGAGGTGTGGAAATGATGAGCAAGCCATGAGAAAGCGTAGCTGATTACGAGATGCAGTGCGAGAAGTGGAACATGACCAATTAGGCAACTCAGAAATGAGCAAGTGTGCTAATGGAACAAAAGATAGGGTAACGGACCGACGGACCCTGACAGGGCCGGACTTCCAGTTCCCTGACTGTATGATATAGAGAGGGGACAGGGACGAGCTTTGCGACAGGTTTGTCAATGGATCAGAAACACAATGTATGATCGGAAACGTGTTTCAGCAACTCAGCTGGCTCATTTCTGATCCACTATATAATCTACACTGTACATAGGAATAATAAGAGAGTTTTACATGGAGTTTCCCCATGCAGCAGTGCTCAGTTCTCATCTTGTCTACGCTAGGACGTTGTGCCTGACTATGTCTACGTCTATTGCGATCACGTTCTACATCTCTGGGATTCTCGACACCAAGAAAGGCAGCACTCTCAGCAGTGGCCTCTAGCTCAACTCAGGTTTCAGCCAGATAAGTCATGTTATCGTGTTCTCGTATCTCACGCCATTGCATTTTGCTCACACGCCACCAGTCACGAGTCTCAAACCAGGATTCCGTAGCCTCGCTAGTGCTCAGGAGTTCATTGTCAGTGCTCATTCCCATTCGGAGATGCCCAGTGGTTCATTGGTGACACTCGTTCCAGTCAGAAGTGCTCAGGGCTTCGTCGTCGGCACTTATCCCAGCTCGAAGACAGTTAGGGATTGCTCATTGGCGCTTGACCCAGTTTGGAGGCAGTTAGGGATTGCTTGTCAGTGCTTGACCAGCACTTTTCAGATATAGAAGGTCCTCGTGCCCCAGCCCAGACCTTCAGCCACCACAGTTCACGAGTACGGAAGTCACCAATCGCATTCTACACTCACACACCCCCACATTCCAGCTTTTGACTGTTTCCTGGTCAGAGGCATCCATACAGTCGAGTCTGACACTCACCGATCCAGAACCTTTGACAATCTGACTCCGTTTCAAGCATCACAGCTGAATGACTCATGGCTGCCCATCACTGCATTATCATCTGAAGTTTCCTGCGACTGTAGCCCAAAGGGACTGCAGATGGACAGAGCCCCAGTTCACCTTCCACCAGTAGGGGTTTGATTAGGAGTGCTGCTCATGGCCAGGACACGGTTGAGCATATCAGCGGGAGCAGAGGCTGATGCCGGTGCTGGGACAGGTGCATCACCAGAAATAAGTGGAACTCCTCCATTGTGTGATGTTGGATCAGGATTGGGTACAGGTGGTGAAATAGGGGCAGGATGAGCAGCTGCGATGGAGACAGTAGGCTCCTGACCATAGATGTCAGTGGGTTCACAGGTGCAGTGACCCTTTACCTCCTCAAAGACCACATTGTGTGACCTAATGATCCCTCCCCTTGGACCAGCAGTGGGATCCCACAAGTAAAAGTTTGCATTGTCAGTATAACCCACGAGGATACAGCGGCGTGACTTAGGATTGAGCTTGGTCCGAGTGTCATCGGTAAGTCTGGCTCATGCTACTGAACCAAATGCATGCAGGTGCACTACGTTGGGCACACATCCATGACAATGTTCATATGAAGTGCAGCCTTTCTGCCTTGCGGAGGGAGTAAGCGACTTCAAGTAGACAGCGATATGGAAAGCCTTCACCCACAAATGGTTCAGGATGCCTGCATTATACAGCATAGTGTGAGCATGGTCAGCGAGGGTGCGATGGTTATGCTCACTTACACCATTCTCCTGGGGTGTATAGGGCACAGTCAGTTCTGCAACAATTCCGTTGTCCTGGGAGTAAGCTGCCCATGCTCCATTATTGAACTCAGTGCCATTGTCAAAGTGGACGCGGCGCAGCTTGCAACCTGTCTGTCGCTCAGCCACATGATGGAAAGCCTGAAAAGGGTGTAATGTTTCATCCATTGACTTGGTGGTGAGTGGGTATACCATGGTATAGGACGATACCCCATCATCGATTGTCAAAAGGTATCGAGCACCACCTAGCGAAGCAATGGGAAATGGTCCCATCAAATCCACATAGACTCATTCAAGGAGCTCCATCTCGACTTCAGATGCACAAAATGGTGCACGGGTTTGCTTGCCCTTAAGACAATCCTCACACTTCCCAGCAGGACGGTCGCCCTTCATGATCATACCTGACACCACATTGGACCGTGCCATCGTTTGTACAGTCTGTTCACTAATATGACCCAGTCTGTGATGCCAAGTTGCGATGTCAGCCACAGAACTGTGGCCATCAACCGCTAGTGCATGATGATCATAAGTAAGGTACGCGCGAGGGAGATTTGACAAGGTAGTGAAGTCGACCTTAGTGAACTCCACCTCATACAGGTCACCCGATGTCAAGATGCAGGTGAACATTGTCTTCCCTGCTTTGCCCATCACGTTCATCATCCCCGCTGCATCAGAGAATGAATATTTAGCATGGTCAAGGCATGGCATCGATATCAGATTTGCCATGAGATCGGGAGTATGGATGGTGTTCTGAAATATAATGATGGATGTACATCCATCTATCATCATCTTGATGGCAACATTGCCTACTCCTACGATGCTAAAGAACCTTTCTTGGCTCCATTTCCCAGCATCAGAGTAAGCGGCATATAGTTGATGAAACTTGCACGATCCACAAAGCAGTGGTGAGTAGCACCAGTGTCAGCATAGGCCCTCAGGGTTCCATGGCTGATGGGCTCGACGTGTGGTAGATTGATAAGGTGGGCGCTGGCCAGGAATATATGATAATCATATTCTGATACATGCCCATCACTCGTGTTTGCGGAACATGCAGTCGCTGTCATAAGGTGAGCTTGTGGCAGAATTTGAGGACTAGATGCAGTAGCCCCAGATTTTACTGCCGTCGATATCACTGCAGCCTGTTTGGCTGCCAACGCTTTCACCGTAGGTGAGCCCTTCTTAGGGATAGGCTTTGTCCACCCTGCTGGCTGCTGACCCTCTCGTCCTCTGCCTTCACAGAAACAATTGGCTTGCAGATGGCCCTTTGCACCGCACAGGCACCACTCACATATCTGTATAGGTTTTGCACGTGTCACGAACACACTGGTGGTTTGCGATGCAACTTGGTCTGTTCCCATCAGGTTAAGCGGGTTACCGGCCTGTATGCGGTCATTCTCAAAGACAGCAAGAATTGACTCCATGACAACATCTGGGTCAGTTTGCAAGAGGAGTGATGTACATGTGGATTGGAGCGATGGAAGGTTTGACATTGAGTTGCATATGATGATTGCGAACCTAGCAGCATCGAACATAGATCCCAGGTCATGTGTGGCATGCCAACGACGGTGATGTTCTATGAAATGATCCTGGAGGTCAGTCCCTTCAGTACACATGCACACTTTGAGGTAATCCTCAGCATTCGTGATCGTCAATGCCGTTTTGTGCTCCCACTTCTGCACTAAGGCAGTCCATACTTTGTGAGCTGTTTTCCCCTCATCCTCGACTCTGGTCCGATGAAGTCGATGATGTTCAAGGTGGTAATAGCCTTCGCAAACTCATCATGCTTGTCCCACAACTGCTGCTCTGCCCTGGCAAGTGCGACGTTGCCTGGGTCTGCACCTGGTGGAGCTGGAGGTGGTCACGTAAGCGTTCCAGTGAGATGCGCATATAGGCTACAAATACGAGTGATGGTGATGATCTTTCCCTTCCAGTCGAACCAATTGGCTTTGCCATGCTGTTGGCTCTTTGGAAGGATGGGCATTTTCACGTCGGTTGTGGCCGCCATGATGGAATGCTAATACGACGAATATTGATGCAAATACTTCGGATATTGATGATTGGTCTCGAATATTGAGGAGTCGATATCGATGTGATGTCTTGTACAGCTATATGCACCTTTCGGGGCTCATAACCTGTTACGAATACAAGGCTAATCTCAGCTGCGCTGTACACTGACGTACTCGACTATATTGCTGAACTGTACATGTTGCGAATACAAGGCTAATCTACTCAATTACAGTCAGCCTAATGTCCCATAAATGAATGCAGTCATGTCCGATACTCACCTCAGCTGTGTCGTACACTGACGTACTTGACTGAGGTGTTCACTACGAGAAATGTGTCATTATATAGGTACGCGACAATCACGTGACTGCGCTGTCAAACTAAGGCTCCAACTATTTATACTATTTACACTCCTGAGGTGTAAATAAGTAGTATATAGTAAATAATCATCTATATGTCATATAAAGAGTTTATATAAAGTTTATATAGTTTTTTTGGTCTCATCTTTTGATGGAGTTTTACTCATCTGTGAGCAGCCTGTGTGATTGTTGAGGCTTTGAAGGACCTGTTTGCATCAGCAAGCACATGACAGTGAGCAGAAAATAAACATTCAATGTCAACACTTGCACCAGAAATGACAAGGAAATCTTATGTTATATAAGAAATGACAAGAAACTCATGTTCTAAGCCTATATGATGATCAACTGTCAGTGGTGGCTTCTGTCAAACACTATGACTTTCAATTGGCTCACTGTTGTGCTGTCAAATCTAGCAATTGTGCACTCAATAGCCCTATATCATCATAAAACTATTTATACTATATATACATCTATTTACTATGTACAGGCCCAACTGTAAATAAACAGATATAGTAAACAGTTAAAACTATGTAACATAGTAAATAGATAGAAATGTTGGAGCCTTATGTCAAACCTGTCAGTCCATCTCCTCCCCATTCTCCCCATAGCTCCGAAGCGGTCTCCTTCCAACAAGATGGCCTCTCGTGCACGGGTTGACGAATGGTTGAAGAAGGGACTAGACATGTAGCGGTATGAATAGTCGATGGGCCGCCGGCTTTAGTGTGACCGTCAACGACCTCCTGCCCACCCGCTGACCTAGGAGGGGTAGGAGCTTGCGAGATTTCCTTGAAGGGGCATGGTTTTTGTCTTGGACATTTTGTATTACTCTGTACTGATTCTATCTCTAGCTACATTAATCTCCTGTCAGCACAGTCACCGTCTATGGCATTTCAGTCTTGCATGAGTGGCAATGTTACGGATCCATCGGGGGCAAGCAACATCATCACGGCCAACATTTCGATACCAGGCGGGTCTGTGTCAACACCAGTACAGGTGCAAGTGGAGCATTCTACCGGCTGAGTCGTGTCGGTCAAAGTGAAAAATTACACAGGTTCACATTGCTGTGTCTACAGGCTGATGCCGGTTGCTAGACTTTGGGCGACCGGTTCCAGGTTGACGGGCGCTTACAGGTGTACGAAGCCATACAAACAATGTCTTTCGACCAATCCGCCAGAATCTGCTCAGTTGCTGTTCCTGAAGCGGGCTTCGCACTTTATTGGTGACCCAGAACGCGTGCGAGGAGTTTCTACCTCGACGACAGCGACATTCTCCACGACCACGTTGACGAAATCTGCAGTGATAGACGGTCGCTGCATCTGTGCTCTATTTCGGGACAGCCACTGAAGCGGCGCAGGTTAGGATGGTCTGTGCGACGCTCCGCCGTGGCTCTGCTGGCCGCGCTGGTCGTGACAGGCTTGAGTATCGTCTTTATTGTGTTCGAGTAAGACACTGTTTGAAGTATCTGGTCACCATGTTCTTACACCCATTCGCAAATTTGAGGAATTGGCTCGAGCTGCAAGGTATGATCAAAGTGGGTGTGATTTCGCTTGCATTCATATGGCATTTCGGTGATCGACACGGATCGTGGACGATCGAAGATAAGGTGACATTGTGAAGGTCCGCCATGTTTTCCATTCCTCTGACAGATGTCATGGCTCACAAATTCGAACAACAACCAGAAGCGCGTCTTCTGCAACACTGACACCTCTCTCCCAACAAGTGTACTTCGGACAGGCCGCAGCTATGCTTTTGTACCCGTTCCTCTCTGCATTCATTCTGCTACTCAGCACGGCTGATGCTGTCACCGTCTATGACCAGTTCCCTTTATCAGCGTCAGCAGCGAGTAGCACTGTAGGGGATAGTATCCCTGCTGCCACGTACACTGCGGCAGCAGCTTACGATCCTACTGTTCTTAACCCTCCACCTATACCTGACCCCCCACCGTCTACTCAGTTTGTGTTACAGCTCCATAATGATGCCGGTGACGTACAGGGGCTCTCTACACCTCTGAGTGGCGCCTTGCTCGGGTTCTCCATTGAGATGTCTGTGGCCGACCAAGTTCGTGAGTACTTCTACAACTCTACGACGGGCAGGTTGTCTCTGTTGGTAGAGACGCTTCATGCCAGCAATGCTCATATATGACCGACCTTACCTTTACATCTATCATATCTCATATTTACAATCTCTCATCGGATTTCCTGACCTTCATCCACAGTCGGTCCCAATGGGTAAGTTCTCAACAGCTTGCGTGACATTGCACTATTTAGAAGAAGCCTGATCTCTGGTCATTGACAGCACACATCTGCAAGTGCCATTCTTGAACCTGATGGCGCTCATAACTGAACGCGCAGGCCGCGTTCACGTTCGTGTAGGAGGCAACTCCCAGGAGAATGCAATGCTCATCTCGGATCTTCCAAATGGCAAATCGATCACAAAACAGAGTGTGGATGGAGGCAACCCCGTACGTCAGAAGTTGCCTATAAGCATGCGAGACTAACTTCAACTATTGGAAGACGGATACACCGGCCCTTTTATATACCCTTGAGATCCTCTATATGCTCTCAAACATCTCAGGCCTTGTCAATACGAAGTGGTATCTCGGCGTGCCACTGAATGATAGCTCCAACCTTCATCTTGCCATCGCAGAATACGGTGAGCGTATTTTGGGCGACAACCTCATAGGACTGCAGATTGGCAATGAGCCCGATCTCTATGCCCGGTATGCACTAGTCTTCCACTTCATGAACCATATGCATGTTGACATTGAAGTGATGACAGCCACAGCCACCGCCCGGCTACCTATAGTCCATACGACTACTTCAGCGAGTTTGGACAGGTCGTTCAGGCGATGCAAGCAGATGCCAATACGCCGGTCACCAACAACCTGCTGGCTCTGAGCGTAGCTACTGGAGACTGGACCCCGGAGGGTATGGCAGCCGCTGTTCGCATTTTCTCACCTCTGCAACGACTGATACGTGCATGTCAGATGTTTGGAACACGAATTTCATCCCGGCATATATGAACAATCTTGCGGCATTGACCGTAGAGCAGCGAGTATCCTTCTTTTCAGGTGTATGACATTTCGGATAACGAATGGTCCCCGCTACCCAGCTATCCAAACGACAACTGTGCCGCACTATATCCAGGTTTCGGTCCCCCTCAAGACCCTCAGTCGGTCTTCCCGAGCTACCTCACTCATGCCTCTTGCAAGAGCATCGTCGCACCGTATCTGAACTCGTCTGCGATCGCGCTTGCTGCGGGCAAGCCGTTCGTAATGTTCGAGACGAACACCGCATCGTGCGGAGGATTTCCCGGAATTAGCGACAGTTTCGGCGTGGCTCTGTGGGTGGTGGACTACGCGCTGCAGATGGGTGCGAGTGATTTCTCGCACGCGTTGTTGCACGTGGGTGGACAGGACGTGTACTACAACGTACGTCGTGAATGCCATTCTTCAGTCCATGGCACGGCCTCATATATCTGATCACAGCCATTCACCCGTGAGTCTCCATTTCCCAATTCCTCATTCACGATCATGATAGCCATCGTTCCCTGGTAGCGCCACTAACCAACCAGTCCAAGATCCACCAATGGACCATCGGCCCCATCTTCTATTCCGTTCTCGCAGTCGCCGAGACGCTTGGCTCCTCGAACCACTCGCAGATCATCGATCTCGCTTCAAACGGTGACAACGACTATACGCCGGGCTACGCGGTCTACGAGAATGGGACGCTCATGTGGCTGGCGCTGATCAACTTCATGACGGACCCATCCGGCGCCAATGATTACACTGTGACCATCTCCGTCGGTGGAAACGCGCTCGGGCAGCCGAGCACGACTCCATCTCAGATCAGGCTGAAGTGAGTTGTGTGAGCATGGTCATCGTTGCTGTCAGCTCTGATCATGATGATGGATGATTCATCTTGTAGATATCTCTTGGCCCCATCTGTCGGCGAGAAATTCAATATAACTTGGGCTGGCCAGGTTGGTCTTGCATTTAGGTCCGCGGTCAAAACGACGCTCACCATTGTGCATGTCTAGACTTTCGGCGGTCAGTTCGAGTCAGACGGATGTCTGCGCAGTGCGGAGACAACGCAAACCGTAGACTGCGACACCGCCAACAATACCTGCCAAGTCACGGTACCAGCACCTGGCTTCGCGCTCGTCTTCCTCTCCGACGGCACGTTCGAGGAGTCCACGCCTACAAGCACGCATACATTTGCCACGACGGTCACAGCCGTCGGGGAACAGAAATACAGCACGACTGTTGATCCGAGCACATTGCAGACCTCGAACGGACACAAGGGGGCGGATGGCGGCCATGGCAGCACTAGCAAAGGGAAGCACAGCGGGGCCACAGCTGCGGGTATATACCCGAGTGTTGTGCTGCTTTTGGCGATGCTGGCTGGTGTGGGGGTGCTGATCAGAGCAGTGGGAAATGGATGGTCTTGAAGTTGACATTCCCGCTTCTATCGTGGAGCTATCAGTATATTCAAGGACTTCACGATACATACTCACTCCGGGGAGGGACATTTCCATCTAGCATGTCACATCGTTCTGTGGTAACTAGCATTGTTTATGATGTACCAATATATCCAAGTTGAGCTTCCTCCGTAGATCTGAGAATAGATCGTATAAATAAGGTGGACTCGATGAGAACGAGAGCAGGGAACCAAATGAGTTGGGTGGACATAGTACGGTTTTGAGTGAGAAGCAAAACATCTAGAACGACGGAAGCGCGATTATCCGTTGAGGCAGAATGTCAGATGGAGTTGAAAAAGACGATGCCAGCGCCATGATTTGCAATACGCGACAGAAGATATCTGTTCTCAGGGCATGATACCATCATCTGGACCAAGTACTCAGGAACTTAAAGTGAAAGACACACGAAATTAGTTCGAATTTGGATCCGTGATTCATCCACCGAAATAGGTGTCAGGAATTGCATTGAATGTGCGTGGCTCGACATCTGTTATCTGTGTCTATGTAACATCAGCAGGGACTACGGATCACATGGGACATAGCACAAACATTATACAGACAACGATCAACCCGAACTGCAACGTTGATCGAAAGCAACCCAGAAAGCCCCATTGATTTACATCAACCGAAATGCGAAGAATGCTCGACCCTTGTCACCGCTGTTCCCAAGCAGCTGGCTTCTTCCACCGTCTATTGAACCATGTTTTCAGCACCTGTGTCACCTGCGAAGTCAAGCTCTCCTTCATGGCATCGTCATTGATGCAAAGCAGAGCCACGTGGGGCGTTCGCTCGATATGTGCGACGACTTGCGCCGCTCCCTGGGTGCTCGAGACGCGTTCGAAGAGCGACAGTGTATTGCCTGTAGCACGTTGGAAAGCCCACATTAATCAATGTTACTGTGACGTCCGGGCGTTGGCACGTACCTATCACATAGCGATAGCGCTGTAGGAGCTGCAGCACCCACTGTCTTGCATTCAGCTCTCGCTTCATGCCCATAACAGCACATAGGGAGAAGTCGCCGTCTTCCCAGTTCGCGACTAGGGGGAGATAGGGCACTTCTCGCTCGCCATCCTCATTGTTCATTGGTGGAAGGACACGATCGGCAGCAGGAAGGAAAGCCGACAAGCCATGGCTGCCGCTTGCTTTTGTTAGCGCCAGAATAACCGAGTAACGTTCAATCTGTCTGTTCAAATGAGCGACAGGAAGGACACGTACCGCAGTCTCCACAGGCCTCATTGCGGAACGCGATATCCGTAAAGATCTCGCTTGCACGTCGCTGTTCGCCTTCAGATTCCGGATGCTCCATCGCGAAACACTTCTCGTAGGATATCCTGCACCTGGGCAGATGCCCCTCGTTGATCTCCGGGGCAAATGACACCCATTCTGGCCGGCCATAGGCACCTAGACCAGCGTGTGCGTAACCGTCGAGAGATGCTATGTAATCTCGTTAGTAGGGGGAAAACCTTCAATCAAGCAAAGATACACATACAGAATGAATACGAGGTCAAGCTCGGCAGCGGACATCTGTAACAGGACCCTCTCGACCCTATCCCTCGTGAGCGTATCCCGGTGGCTAGTCTCCACGAGAAAATCGCTCTCCCCCCAGGTGCCACCGATTTCCTCCCAAGCGCACCGAGCCTCCGCTTCGCCCCAGGTCCCATTGAGCGCGCCGACCCGTCCAACGACCCAGCTCCACAGAAGCGCTTCTCGTGCACGCTCGACAATAAAGTGCGCATGCATGAAGAACGCATTCACGTCTCCGTCGCCGTTTGCAGTCTCTCGGAAGGGATGCGTTGCGGAGGCCGCGAACGACTCGGGCCAGATGGTGGCCATCTCGTGTAGGAGAGCGCGAGAGGCGACCTTGGCTTCGTGGGCGACATATGGCCGGTATCGGCGACCGAACCGCTTGCGATTCCGGCCGGGTGTGTGGCACGCCCACCCGCCGTTTCTTCTTCTTGTTTCTCTTCTTATATAGTGGCAGTGGCGAGGGGGTCGCGAAAACCGTCGTCTGCTCGTAGCTGAGCGTAGACTGCGCCTGCGGGTGTCCGTGCACGTCGTCGTCGTCGTCGTCGCTCGCATACTCGTCCTCGCCGTGCTTGGATCTGCTGTGCGATCGCGCGCATCGCCTGCGTCTTTCGTTCCGCGTTACCAAGGGAGCTCAGATGCAAAGAAGGGTTCCGTACAAAGTGTCGCAGGTGCTCAGGGAGCGACGACACCAGCGACTCCTCATCCACCCCCACCCCATCCATGCTGTGGCTCAGATGGCTCAATGTCACTGCCAGCTCTGCCTCGGGCGCGCTCTCCAGCGGCGGCAGCCCATCCGAGCCTTCCTCGTCGTCATAGTACACGCCTGCTCCCGCTGCCGCCGATAATGACAGGTCTACGCCTTTCCCCTTGATCTTCTTTTTCTTTTTCTTCTTCCCATTCGTCGTTGCGCCAGCTGCGGGTAAGGGTGCGGGCGCGGGAGCAGTAGGCGGAGGCGGAGGCGCTGTGGCCTGCGTGATTTTTCGAGGTTTTGCAGCAGGCATGGTGCGTGTGACCAGGGAGACGGCAGTAGCTATGTCCAGATGGTGTATGGTGAACGCAGCACGGAAAAGAATAGGATTCGGCTCGCCGGCGCGCAGAGTCCAAACAGATCAGTCTCGGACTGCAGTGAGAGCAAATGCAGAGATCAATTCGGAGTGGTGTTTTCCGCGCCGCTCGTAAACAAATGAACGGAGTCTCGCAAAGATAGAGCCTGGTATGCACGTCGTGGTGAGGATGGTCTTGTCGGTGTGATGGTCAGTCAGACGAGCTTTGGGCGCTTCCTGAATCCTTGATCAGCTCGGAGCTGCACGCGCCCCTGCCCGCCGCGGAGCAGACGGCAAATCGGAGTGTCCGGGGGTTTTGTGCCACTCGTGCCGAGAGAACAACTGCTCGGCACGAACAACGGACGCCACTCGTGAAATTCCCAGGGTGTGGCACATTGTCGTACATATATAAATGCCAGTAGGCAGACAGCACACTCATCTTTCTCTTTCTCTCCTCTCCACATCGCATATCAAGATCTCCATCGACATGTCGAACACCCAAGATTCGTCACAGGTTGACGTTTTGGCTTCCTTGTTCTCGCAACTCAACATAGGTGGCGCACCCGCTCAAGACCCAGTAACCAAGTTGCTAGCTCAGGTGCAAAAGCAGTTCTCTTATGAAGAAAGCGGCAGGATATTTCTAGACTCTACGTGCTCTCGCATTGAAGATTCAGGCCTCCCGCGCGATAGTTTTCCCCGTGAACTACGGGAAGCTCTGTTCAAGGATGGTGGCGCGGAGAGACTCCAGCCCCTGCCAAATGATCAACTGGACGAGTTGTTGGCAGGGAAGGATATTGCAGCATTTTTTTCCTCTGCCTGCGGTATGTCTGTTCATTTCTCATGTTACTAATACTGAACGATGATCGATATCATCGTAGTACGCGGTGAACTACCGCCTGCCGCGATTGAGACGATGTATGTCAACTCCATCCCTCGTTGTTGGCCCGACACTTACGTTACGATTGTGGTCATTCTATAGAGCCGAGCAGCAAAAGCGGCTGGACAGGGCCTTCCATGAAACGTTCCGCGGACGCTTCGATGAATTGTTTGAGAAGTCCTTGGGTGTTTACGCGGGAATATACGATAAAAGTATATATTACGGTCGCATGATACCCTTCGTTCAAGCTAGCGGAACAGGTAAGACTCGTTTGGCGTGGCAGCTTGGGCTTCGAGTGAGTGCGGTTGTTTTGTCCGTCGTAGGGTCACTGATTGAAGAACATGAACGACAGATGCCTGCGTTCTGTGTTTGTTTCCGAGAGGGCGAACTACCAACTTCAGGATGGCCTCCTCGTGACGTCAGCCGAGAGTTCTTCGATGGGCTCGATGGGCCGTTCACCTTCCTGGTGAGTTCTTCGTATGATACCCCTTGACGTGTGTCGCTCAGTCAGACTTATAGGCGGAGGAGAAGGCGGCTGCCTTTCTCGGTGCGCTCGTGGAGGTTTTGCACCACACAGCACCTGCCGTGCACCACACAGCACCTGCCGATCTGGAGGCCTGGGTCAAAGCCTGGTCTATCGAGGATCCAACCGATCTTGAGAGATCAAGTCGCCACGGTCACTTTGAGGAGGTGAAAAAACTTACTAGAGAGCGGCTGACTAAGTACAAGGAGGAATTGTTTGCCTTGAGATTGAAGCACCACATCACTGCTGCAGCGGAAGCTGATAACAACACCAGAGGTGGAAAATCCGGAACCAGCGTCACCGGCTGGCACGTGGCTTTGTTCACAAGGCTCGCGAAGCCGGCTTTCGATCTACTCGCGGAATCGGTGCACCGTCTAAAACAAAAGAGATTCCTTCTGAGTCTCGACGAGTGTACAGAACTGAACGATCCCGGCCTACTTGTCGGTCCGAAAGGTCCTCAGCGAGAGATGTCACTCATTGCTCTCCAGCGTATCATCAAGGCCGCAGACGAATGCACTTTCCCGCACGATATCGAATTTTGGTATATGCTCTTGGACACGAATTCCTCCGTGTATGAACTCGCTTCTTCCGGGCCAGATGCGTCCTCGTTTCGCTTAGCGAGTGCACTTAAACCCTTGCCTGTGTGGTGTTACGTCGATTTCGACCAAATGCGTCAAGATAACAAGCAAGATGACAAGCAAGATGACAAGCAAGGTGCCAAGCAAGATGACAAGCAAGATGACAAGCAAGGTGCCAAGCAAGATGACAAGCAAGGTTCCAAGCAAGATGACAAGCAAGGTGCCAAGCAAGATGACGAGTTTACAAACGCGGAGGACGCTCTTCTGATCTCCTTCCTTGCAGCATTGGGCCGGCCTGTAAGTAGCGCTTTTTTCCATCTTCGTGAACTGTCACTCACCAAGCCGATATACAGTATTGGTATACCCTTCGCTACTCTCCAGACCTTGTGCGTGCTGCAATTAAGAAGCTAATCTATAACGACAAATTCGATCCAACAAACCGTGAACATGTGTTCGCCGTCTTCGCAAACAGGATCGTGCTGGAACTGAATCATACGATGGAGTCCAGCCGCATCGCTATAAACGCTGTACGCAGTCACATGCGCCTCCTGATCGGTGTCCATGATACGTTCATCACCACCGCCGCGCCTTCGGAACCTATGCTTGCCGTCGCTGCTGCAGAAGTCCTGAACTTGAACCCGCAGACCTACGCCAGGGCGTTGGACACGCTGATGCGACGACTCATCATGGACGGGGTCGTGACTGATCGAGGGCGACAAGGTGAATTATGCACCAGGCTCTTACTCACCCTCGCGCGCGACAAGGCGACGCTTCCGAAGGGAGGAAAGTTTGTGGATTCCACTCGGCGCGCTGTCCGCCCGTTGAGACTGTCAGACTTTCTGAAGACCTTGCTTGGCGACGACCTCGGCGTCAAGCATCAGGAAACGACTGTAGAAGCCACGGTTGGGGAGCCCACGACTCAGAAGCCCAAGGCTAAGAAGACCAAGGCTGCCAAGCCCAAGGCCGCCAAGTCCAAGGTTGACAAGGCTGAGGCTGACAAGGCTGAGGCTGAGCAGCCCAAGGCTGAGAAGGCCAACCCTAAGGATTTTGTCAAAGACGCAGACAAGCTCTGGATCAACTTTACTCACTGGGTCCAAACCTCCGAAGAGCTCAGCGTCATTACTCGCAAGTGGCTTGCTGAGCTGTGGAAGCGGGGTGCCGGCGTACAGTGCACCCATATTCAGGCGTTGTTCGATTCGCTGTTCGTAACATACAGCGGAGACCTCAACGAGCCTTTCGACGAGAGTTTGCTCGGATATGTCATCGTTCAGATCAAAGCGAAAACGAAAGCATCTGCATATAGCCTAGTTGCTGGACTGGCAGGCCCTATCATTGAACGCACTGACAAATCAGGCGCGGTTGTGCGATATAAACCCGAGAACTACGTCGCACTTTTTATGGACTTCGCTACCGAGAGCGCATTCGGACACGCTGGCGGGCCTCGCGTTGCTCTCGAAATTGGGCAACCTGCGAAACAGACGCACGGCGGCTGGATAGGATATCTGGAAAAAGACAAGGAGCCGAAGCGATACTGCCTAAACATTCGGGGGCACGACAGTTCGGTTTACACCGTGATCACCCCGGAATTCAAGGCGCAGTTTGATCTGCTATTCGCACACTCGATTGACACGCGTGGGCCCTTTGAGGAGGCCAAGGACGCCATGGACTCGGCTATAAATCCTATATCGTCGATTCTGCGCAACGACCCTGCATCGTTGAAGGCCGAGAAGAAAGCGGCGAAGGCAGCGGAGAAGGCGAAAGAGAAAGAGGAGGAGGTGGAGGAGGAGGAGGTGGAGGAGGAGGAGGCGGGAGGATCGAGCAGTAAGTGAGTGTGGGCTAATGATTCGATTGTCTGATGATGGCTGCTGCGAATGATGACCCCAGTTAGTCCGTGGAGGACATGATCAGTCTTGTATTCTCGCAATGTAACGTTACTTTGGATTGTGCTATGGATTGTCAGTTGGAATTCATAATCTTTTATTATCTGAGAGCGGACGAGACTCCGAACCATCTTCGTTGATTATCCTCGTCTCCTCAGGCTCTAGAGTTCAACGGTCAACATCGCCGAGCGCTCAGCGCTCAGGCCTCCAGAGCTCCATGCTTTGAGCGTGCGCACGGACGAGTTTGACTTATCACGGAATTGAACGCACGCCATTTCAGACAGGCGGTCCAGCATGTCGCGAGTCGCCATGGCCAAGTGGCGGTGAGAGTCAGGAGTGATCGATCGCGACCGATCGCGATTGTCACACTAGATCATGGCTTTGAATATTGCTACTGTATGTCGTCAGATCTTCCGCTTCTGATGAGGATACGCAGCTGTCGCAACCGATGGTCATGAGGGTCGGCAGCAGACCGGTCACACGTCGCGAGCTCACGTCTTTTTTGACGGACATTGCGAGAATGAGGAGATGTATAGATGGAACGTGTGCCCAGCCTGTGCGCACTGACTTTGTGTGTAATACATGATGTTGTAACTACAGCCCCACCTAAGCTCCCGAATTGATAGGTTCTAGTCCAGATCTAAAAGCTTGTTGGTCAGATGGGACAGGCCAAAAAAACGATTTGTAAGGAAAGAGGGTTCAGCAACTCAATGCATTCAACAAGCAACCGTGCCCATCTCCATTTTTGTACACTAGGAGACTTTGGTGTAGGCAGAAGACATTCTGTCCACCCATCGAATAGGAATTTCATCCGAAACAGCAAGAAATCACGTGTTGCATGTGGAACATCACTCACCACAAAGTAGATGCCTTCATGGATTTACCTGAAGATGAATTTCACTGATGACGAAGAACAGTCAGGTTCACGCA